CATAAAAATAAAAAATAAAAATTGGATTTCAGCAAAACTATAAACTGTTCTTCAAAAGATATTTTTCAAGGAAATGAAAATACAATCCAAACATACAGAGAAAGTATTTTCAAAACATATGCCCAGAATAAAGAACTCTCATAACTCAGTTAAGACAAAAAAAAAAAAACAAATAAAAATGGGCAAAAAACTGGATACATCACAAAGCAATAAGCACATACATAGATGCTCAAAACCATTAGCCAATGAGGCACAAATAAAAACCGTAATGAGATCCCATCTGCTAAAATGGCTAAAATTAAAAATACAGAAAACATTAAGTACTATCAAGAGGATTTGGAGCAAATCGAATTTGTCACATTGTTGGTGGGCCTGAAAAATGCTATAGCCACTTTGTTAATTTCTTATCAAATTAAGCATGCATTTTAAATAGAAATCAGCAATCTTAGCTGTAGGTATTTACCCAATGAAATGAAATTGATCCACACTTCCTAGTATCAAACCTCTCACTAAAAGTGGGTTGACTTACTTATAACTAATAAAATATGGCAGATGTGATGGATGTCAGTTTCCAGATTACAGTATAAGAAGTCTATGGCTTCTATATTGGGGATTCTATCATTCTTGCTTAGAGTTTTTCATCCTGACAGATGACAGTTGCCATGCCATAAGGCAGACTTGTGGAGAAGTCCAAGTGCATGAGCCCAGAGTAGGTCTTCTGAGGCCTGCCAACAGCTGTATGATTGAGCTTGAAAGTAGATCCTGTACCTCTATGCATCCAAGTAGAGCCTTGTGCAGCCTTGGTTAGCAGCTTGACTGCATCCTGGGGGGAGACCCTGAGCCAGAGGCACCTAGTGACAGGCTTCCTGACCCATGGAAACTGTGAGATAACCTATGTTTTTTGTTTGCATTGCTAACTTTTAGAGTAACTGCTACACAGCAATAAATAATATATGAGGAAAACAAGACAGTATTGCTACAAAATCATAGAAAGCCCTATTAAACAAAACATATAAAAATGTGAAGCTATTGTTTCTCAACATATCCTCCATCAGGAGGGACAAGTTGCTGGAGAAGGATATTATGTTTGGTAAGATGGAGGGTCAGAAAACAAGAGGAAGACCCTCAGTGAGATGGACTGGCCAAGTGGCAGCATCAATGGACTCCAGCGTGGCAACACTAGTGAGGTTGGCCCAGAATTGGGCAGTGTTTTGTTCTGCTGTGCATAAGGTCGCTATGGGTCAGTACTGACTCGCTGGCACCTAACAACAACAACACGGTCTCTATGCTTCTGAAGGCAGTGTTTCATCTCTCTAATCCTACCCTGAAGACTTCTGTACTCTTCAATTTATACCATGTCAGAACAGCAGTTTTGGCATCCTCAAGAGACTTAAATTTTATTCCTTTTAAATGTGTTTTTGAAGTGATGGAAGCAAAATGAAGTCTAAAGGGAAAAGATCAGGGCTGTAGGATGAATTGGTAAGGTTTTGCAATGAAATTATTGTAGGACAGCCCTTGCTAACCAGGAAGAATGAGCAAGCACATTGTCAGGATGGAAAAAAAATTCCTCGGTGTAAATGTCCTAGCCTTTTTCTCAACAATGCAGTTTTCAATTTTCTTAAAACGTCTTCTTACTAAATCTGTGTGATCATCCTACATTCTTCAAGAAAATCTATCAACCCCCATGATATCATGTTTTACTTATACATCTGCTAGAAAGGAGCAGACAGCCCCCTCCTCCCACTGTGCATACCAACACTCTTTGTTCTCTAGGAAGGAGGAGGCAGCCCTGCACCTTGGGGTTTCCCTAATTTTTCCATGTTCTCTATACCACTCTTAACCGCCCTGATATGTGTGAAGCTTGTATAACCCATGACATAAAAAGAACCTAGCCTATGCCTCTTACACAGTAAATCCTGACTGTCTGGCCAGCCACCACTGTGGGTCCTGTCCATATCTCGGCTAGTAAGTTTCCCTGTCTGCAAATCATCTCTTTTCTTTAATAAACTAATGTCTCTTTAGGGAGGGAAGAGAGAGATCTATTACCCCTTTGGGATCCAAAAATCAGCCACCATAACCTTCTGATATGACCTCTTTGCCTTAAATTTAAGTGGCCCAGCAGCCCCCACCCCCAGAAGCTGTTTTGATTGGACAGTTTTTTAAACGCACCCTAATGAGTCCTTGTGTGGCGCTGTGGGTTAATGAGCTAGACTGCAAAGTCAGTTTGAACTGCAAGGTTGGTGGTTCAACTCACCAGTCGCTCCTTGGAAACCCACTACAGGGTCACTAAGGGTTGGAATCAACTCAACGATACTTAACAACAACGAGACTAAAACAAGTGTATTATCAAGTGGACTTGTCTGCAGCCATCCACTGACCACAGAAAGATGTTTAAGCATGGCTGTTTGAAAGGAACCTGTGTATGTATGAACTGGAACCCTAGTAGCAATACTTTTGACTTATACTCATATCCCCAAACTTGGGAGGGAGGGGATATTAAAATATCTCCTTATAATGGAATACTATTCAGTTACCGAAAGAATGATCTGCTGATCTATGTAACAAATTGGATGAATTTCAAAAACATGCTAACTGAAAAAAGTCAGACATTGTTATGATAGTATGGTGGTGGTGGTTATGTGCCATGGAGTGAGTTCCTACTCATAACAAAATCTTTACAGGAGCAGAAAGTCTCATCTTTCTCCCAAGGAATGGCTGTTTCGAACTTTTGACCTTCAGGTTAGCAGCCCGACTCGTAACCACTACACTACCAGAGCTCCTTATGATAGTATAGAAAAGGAGAAAATATAGTGCATGAAAGCAGATCAGTCTCTGGTTACCTATGGCTGGTAGGTGAAAGGGTCATGAGGAACATTTTAGGGTTATAGGGATGTCCTTGATGTTGATGGTGTTGGTAGTCACACAACTACATACTTTTATCAAAACTACTCACCTAGCAGCATACTTGAACCAAATGTATGTAAATTATACTTGAATAAAATTGATTTTTAAGGTTTTTTTTTCTGATTTAAAAAGTCACAGTTTATGTTTCAATCATTTTGAATGACAGCAGCAATATTTGTGAAATCATCATAAGTTTATAAAGCAGTTTTAATAATAACAAATTCAATCCATGTAGAAGATTATAGAGCAATGAAAACAAACTTCTAATTTGAACTTTAAAAGCTTAGTAGAGAGATCTGAAACTTCTTTAAGTGTCATTTTAAAGATCCATGCCTGGAAATGCTAGAACAAACAGAAAAGGGTATTCTAAAAATAGGACAATTCTTTTCATTATATGGATAAAATGAGGTATTCTTGTATGACTACTTATCTGGGACTTACTTCTCACTGGGAGATTTTCGTAGATTGGTCCTCTGGAGATACTTTTAGTGGGAAACCTAATAGTACCTTCCCCTATCCCTTACTCCTCTGCCCAGTCCTAGCTCATAAACAATGTCTAGCAACTCAAAATGTCTTGAGCAGTTTGAGGAACAATGTCACACTTTTATAACTATGTCAGAAGATGGCAAAAGTCTAGATACTCTGATCTGAACTTACTTTTGTACAGTTGTTAGTTGTTTTCTTAAAACTCATAATGAACATTAAAGGAAAAAAGTTTTCATTTTGGTAAACTCCTTGAAAATGGTGAATCATGAAATGATTTAAAAACAAAACAAAAAAAGATGAAATGCTTTAGAGATGTGAAAAGTCAACTGTAAAGGAGCTGAGGGAATAGAAGAAATCACAAGTGAAGAAAAGAAAAGAATTTAAAAAACAGGCTAAAATGCATTGCAACTGTTACCATTGGAAAAAAAATGTGCCTCTCCCCTCAAATCAAGGAAGTATGAAGTCAGCAGCTTATTTTGGAACACACTATTCCATTCTAAAGATATTAAAGGGAGTTGGATCTACTTTGAAGTCTGATTACTGTAAAAATTGTTATAAAGTAAACCTTTTTGTAAAGTTTCTTTCTCATGGTATGAGAGAAGAGAAATATGGCTTCGCAAGAAAACTAGTCAGGACTCGGTGCTCAGAAGATCTTTTGCTGTCACAGTCCTGGGTAGAAAAATACTTTCATTTCTCCTTTGTGAGCATGCATGGGGACACATGATACCTGTGGTGATGTGGGAAGGGGAGAGGATATGAACTCGTGGTAAGCTAAAACTAGAAGGAACTGTGCCTTCATTTTCTCTTGCTCTGTAACAGGATGAATTTCTCATCTCATTGATTCTAAGGCATAGCTTCAGTGTGTCCACTGCTCGGGACCCCACTAAGCAAGAATCAGGTGGCACACAGGATGTAGCTCACCTGGGGGCAAGGGTTCTTTCAAAGGTCATTCAGGTTGTTGACAGATTCAACTGTACAACTGAGGTCCCCCTTTACTTGAAGGCTGTTGCCTGGGCATCATTCTCAGCTTCTAGAGGCTGCCCCCTGGGTCCTAGCCACCTGGCCTTCTCAAAACATGACAGCTTACTTCTTTAACGCTAGCAAGAGAATCTCTTTCCCATCTGCTACCAAGGAGTCTAATATAACGGAATACAAGCATGCACATAAAAACTTTGCCATCTATCACAACCTAATCAGTGGAGTGACTATTTCATAATTTTCATATTCATGCCCACACTGTAGGAGGGGGATTATATGGGCCATATAGCCCAGGAACTGGGAGTTTGGGAGACCCAACAATCCTTCAGTGCCATCCAGTGCAACATTCTTACTCAAAGATGGGGTATAAACTGAAGCCCATGACTGTTGTTAAGTGCTGTCAAGTTGGTTCTGACTCATTCACATGGAGGAGACATTAATTATCCAAAGTCATGAAGTCATATCTCCCAAAATCCCTGTGTAGTGCCTTCCACTCTCCTAAAGTTACTCCTGGAGCTTGGCATGATTGGCAGTCAGGCCAATTTTTAGGCAAGAGTTAAAAAAATCACCATGATGGTCAGTTAAGCTACATAGATTCCGTGACACCCAGAAATCATTGAAAGAACGCTTACCTGCAGGGTGCTAGCATGCTGACTCAGCATCTTTGAAGAATCATAGTCAGCAGGATTGGCCAGCAAATGACTGGTATTTTCTATCCAAGCCTTAATGTTCTTCAAAAGGTCATTATATTCCTCCATCTTAATTGTGGCCTGTGGAAGAGACATCGTACTAAATTCAACCTGATACCCTTTGACTTAAGTTGAATGACTCTTGAATGGAGCATTAATTGCTGTTAGCAGTGGTGTGTTAGGCCTTGCAGATCTCCGCTCTGTGGCTGGGACCATTTGACCACTCTTTCCAATATTTAAGACGGATCTGACTGTAGGTGGAGAGGATGTAAGAGATTCTCCTCCAGCCTTTGCTTTGGCAAGGATTCCAGGTACTCTCTGGCTACCCAGAGTTAATCTTCATTTTATGCTGCAATCTGAAACTGGATTTATACTTCATCCTCCTGCTTGTTCTCCACCTGGTCTTATAATGCCCCAGTGTCCCTAGGACTAGGATCCTGTTTGCTCTTGCTAGGTCACACCTCTGACACACCCACTCATGATTCCTATTTTTGGGGAAGGGGCATGTCATTCCCAAATGGCAGTTTATCTTGTTGCTGGCTCCCTACCTGGGCTACTGAAATTGCCTGCCCTAAATTTTCTTTACTGATCCTCTTCCACCTACTGGGATCCCTGTTTGGGATCCCACTGTGGCTCAGCCTTTGGATTCTCAGTTCTTCTATTGGCCCAATTATACTTCCTGCCTATCCAGAGGCGTATCTAAGGTTATGGCAGGGACAGCACATGCATGAGCACCACTTGAGGGGATGGGAGCACTAATGAACAATTTCTATTAGCCACATAGTTTCCATCATCAGCTGTGAGAGATCATTCAGCAATTTAAAACTGTCACAAGTGCTACTTTCCATAGCTGCATGTCTGTGCTTGCCCCAGCAGTGATATTGTGCCCTCGGTGCCTACCTGAACCTACCATGAAGCTCTAGCCTCAGGTCCTGTAACTGGTAATAGAAGGGAAACAGAATCTCTCTCCATTTTGTTTGGTTTTTTCTTAAATGAGACTCAATGCCACCACCTGCACTGCAGACAGGTGTATTATGGCAGTACCTTATTTAACTGTGAGGTTCTAGCTTCTGCTCTTTGTGACACTTGCTGATACTGCTGGAAGGGAATCATCAAATTATCCATCCATTCTTGGGCTTGTCCTGGGTCCTGTTCAACAATGTCCTGTACTTCAGAATCCAGCTCATTTAACTTAGAATGCCAGAGATCGAGCTCATCCCACATTTTCTGGAGAAGAATATCATTAAGTCAGTTGGAATGAAGAGGTCATGGTTTACAGTGTCAATACCTAATTTTCACACAGCATTTGCCCTCATCAATGCTACCAAAACAGCACCACAGGTACAGCTTTCATTTATACCAAGCAGCCACTTGTGATTCAGACTGAAAAGCCCCTTTTCTGAGCTCTATTACTTTAACCATATTTAGCAGTAGAGGAGCAGAAAGACCTGGACATTTTCAGAGGTGAATGACAGTCAGCAAGGTCAATATAACCGTAACCTTTCAACAGTGATGTGGTAACAATAGGTTTAATAAAGGATGGGTAGACACCTGAAATTGACTAGAAGATGATTTCTGTTAAAAACAACACGAATAGCGGCTCTGACTCATGATTAATGCAGTAGTAGAAAGTTTGAGCCACATGTCTTAGAAGTAACAGCTTTTGGCTCAAGAAACCAATATACAGGGTTCAAATCTGAAACTATTTGCATGGAGAAAATATCCCAGGTAAAATATTTAATTTGTATTTATCACTTGCTCAAAAGCATACTTTCTTAAAACTGAGAATACCTGACTAGTTAAATTAGGTTTCTTTGCTAATTAAGATTTTGTCCACGATTTTGTCCAATGGTGAGCCATATTCCGATCTATTTTTAAAAGTCTCTGTATCGGAATACTTCCTTAAAATGTAGATTAAAAGAAAAATGCAGCTTACTTGGGACTTGAAAAGCAGAAATTTATGCATATATACAGTTTTACCTAAGATTTTATTTCCTAACATGTTTTACAAGGAAATTAAAAAAAGAAAGAGGAAACTTTTTATTGTGAATTGAGTGAAGGCTTACAAAGATCATCAAATCCTACAGTGTGTTCCAGCTGAATGGTTGCAATCCCCTCCATGCATCAACAGTTATCACCTTTCCTCCCTCTTTTCCAGCCCTCCAGCCCTTCTCAACTTTGTCCTCAGGTAAATGTTGCCGTTTGGATCCTGAAAGGTTGACCATTCCATGGTGAGCATACCCTGCTAGTGCTGTTGCCCTAGTAACAATACCTATTCTATCTATTGCTTGGCTGAAATTTGGGCCATGAGGATGGCTGAGGACCTCAGTCTATGGTTCCTAAGGGAAGTAAATTTAGACTTCCTACTCTTTTTTATCTTTTTAACTTCACAGTCTAAAGAAAAGTTGGGATAAATACATACCTATATTAATAAACTAAAATACTAAGATAATACTTAATATTCTAATGAAGTATTTTTGTATTGTGTTAAGATAATAGTCCTTGGGGAAAGAAAGAGTCCCCACTGAATAGCTGTCATCTTGTCTAGATAGGTCTGGTGAAAAGAAATGGGGATAAGATTCAAAAGATTCAATAGTGAATAACTGTTATCATGACTAATCGTGACTGTCACAATTGTAAAGGTAGAAGAAGTTTTGTAACAAAAAAAGGGGAGTGGTTAATCTTATAGTCCAGAAACAGAGGACCCTAGGACCATCAAGAGAGGAATGCACAAGCAGAATGTGGGACCTTATCCAGAGAAGCAGCAGTGCCAGAGATGGAGGAGGCAGAGATGGGGGCATGGAGAGGGGGAGCGGCTGAGTACTCTAGACTCATGGACTAAAAGAGAAGGACTAAGAGCTGGTGGCCAGGAGCACACTTGCAGAGTGTGCCTTTTGGAGATGTAAACTATTATATATGCCTGAGTGAGTTTTTTTGTTTGTGTGTTTTTTAAAAATAGCTAAAGTGGATAGAGAGAAATACCGTTAACTGATGGTACATGGAGGGAATTATAATCAATGTAATGAAACAAGGTATATGATTTGTTGAATGCAAAACTGATGATCTGCCCTGTAAACTTTCACTCAATCTACAATAAAAACCTTAAAAAAAAAAAAAAAGATAATAGTCCTTTCTTTCCTTTCCTCATGAAAAGACCAGTTTCACAATCATTTTTTGTTGTTGTTAAGTGCTGTTGAGTTGGTTCCAACCCATGGCAACCCTATGTAGGGTTTCTGAGGAGCGGCTGGTGAGCTTGAACTACCGATCCTGAAGTTCAAATTGACTTTGCAGTCCAGTTCATTATCCCACAGTGCCACACTAGGACACTCACAAATCTGAACATATTCCCACCACAGAAAAAGTAAGAACAATTCTTAAATGCAACATTCTCTTCAAAGTAGCAGCTGGGCTGGGGACTTTAGACCCAGAGAGGGAGAGGGGCTGTGTGCTGACAACTAGGGGGCAGGCTTGCAGGGTATACCCTTTGGTTGGTTGATGATGCATGGAAGGCATTTGTAACCATGGCAACGAAACAATATACAATAGGATGAGTGTAAAACTAATGTTCTCCCATGTAAACTATCACATAATTCACAATAAAACATTAAAAAAACAAAAAAAAATCTGCTGGGTGACACTCACAAAGGTGCACTTTGTGGATCTGGCTTAGGGTCCCTGTCTGTCATAATAAACACATCCTATAAAGCTTGGTTGGTAAGGTGGGGAAAGAGAGAATCAGAAATATCAAGGGAGAAGAAGGAAGTTACCTTTTGAATTTCTTGAGCTTTCTCAATGTTTTTGCTTTTCTGCTGCAACATTTTTTCAACATTATGAAGTCCCTTGTTAATTTCGTTTATTTTTCTACTCATTGCTTGTGATGGTGAGCTTTTTAAGACTTCATTGCTAATCTGTTACAAAAGAAGACACATATGGTTTAGAGGGGCTTTCTGCACTCAATTAAAGGGATGGTTATTTTGCTACACAATTTTACTTGTACAAAATTCTAAGAACAATAGGGGTGGAGGGCATGGCTACGAAACTGGCCAATGTGGAAGTGGAGTAGCAGACTAGTTAAATGGTAGCTGTGCTGACCTGACCTTTTAAATTTGATATAAAACAAGGAAATAAAGCAAACAAACCCAAATTCACTGAATGTAATCTAAGGTATATGCAGCAGATGGACGCTGTATTGAGCAAAACAACCGAGCAAAATGTTTGAAACATACTTCAATGGGTCAAATAATATAAGAGATCCCAGGGACCAATTGCTTAGTAAATTATTTCTTTATTTTATGAGAAAATTCTCTGCACAGATCTGTTTCCAATTTTAAAAAAACCTGATTCTCAAACTGGTAAAAGAAAATAGGAGTACCACCTTAATATTCATTTGGGTGAAATACCTTTCAAAACTAGTTACTTCTTGAAGAGGCACAGAACTTCATTTTTCTCTATGTGAATGTTTAAGTGTCTGTTTTCACAGCAATCAGAAATCTAGTTGGTGAACAGTGTAATTTTTTTTTTCTGAATCATTTCCTTAAGAAAATAACTGGTGCTACAAAAAAAAAAATAGTAAGTGACTGTTGAATGTGTCCTTTTCCAAATATCTGATTATTTTGTGTCCTTGTCTTTTCAAGCCATGTTGATAAGGCTTTTTTCAGGCAGCCAGTAAATAACCAAATAATACTTTGGGCTTATTTGTAACTCTTACAATTCTCAAAAGAACTACTATGTCTGCATAGATAGTATACAGATTCAGAAACTGAAAAGGCTAAATGATTTGCTTAAGGTTATATGTCAAGGCAGTACTTAAACTTGTCCTGAGAAGCCCTGAGCACTCAGACTCAATCCCGGGCACTATCCACTACACCAGGCTCTTGATCCACAGACCATACCAAAGTCAAGTATATCAGAAAGAAAAAGAAATCCCACTTCGATTCCTGTAGTCATTATCTATTACTGTGTGACATATTACCACCATAAATCAAAACTTTCTGACATTCTGGGTTGCTCTTCAGGGTAAAATTTGTTATCATTTAGCTACATTAGAAGAAATCATGATTTAGGAAGAATAAGGAGTCATTTGAATTATACAGAAATGGACTGAGTCTCTTAACTGGATTCTTGACCACAGCTTGACTCAGACGTATCACATAATAGCTGTTTGATACAAATATACATGTTACAGTTGAACATTTCAATCCTACCTCAATTTAAATGACTGATTTTGATTACTAAAATTTACTTCTGGTGGGGATTTTTATATGAAACATTCATGAGACAAATATTTAAGCTTCTTTGAAGACATTTAGTAGTCTATTAAAATAAAATCAATAACACATGATCCTTGAAAAACTACCTTATAGCACATTCCCTTGTGTTAAATCTATAGTTTGCTACACATTAATTTACATGTTGTTGTTGTTTTTAACATAGTTTAGGTTTTTTTCAAAGATCTCTTATAGATGCTAAAGATGGAGTCTAGGAACTAAGTCTGAACTCTCAGTTTTGTGTACATTTAAGATCTGTTTTACTTATCAAGTTGTATTAGTGCAATGCGCTATATAATAACTAGCTACATAAGTATTACTACAGTATTCTAAGCTCCAAAAATCCTTCTGTGGATGCTGGACCAAAAGGAGAACTTTTGGGTGTAAAGATTTGAAGTGTGTTTTGGGAAAACGCTGTCATCATTAAGGCAGTATCTATAATAAGTGCTCTTCCTTGAGAGTAGTGAAACTATGTTCTTACTGCCTTTGTTGCAATTTCAAAATGTTCACGGTAAATATGTTTTAAAGTAAAGGCTTGTTCATGTACACAACTTTTTTTCATGTATAAAATTTTAATAGTTCTGTTGTAAAAGATAACAGTGAAACCAAATATTTAAATCTTTTCTAAAGTGCAAGAGAAGCAAAATGATAAAATAAATGGATTATCTAATTATAATACCTAGGTCACTTACTTAGTATATCTTCATCTCAAAGTTCATTACACAAAATTTTCATTCAACTCTAAACTCTACAAAACAGCCATAATGGAAATCAATAGAAACAAAAATGCTAGGTTAAATGGTATTTTCTTAGTCTTTATTCATTCACCTCCATACATAACAATGTTAACAAAAAAATTATTATTACCTTCTCATCTATGTCTTGTAAAGCTTTCCGGCACTCTTCCATCTGGGACTCAATCTCTGCAGGAACTATGGTATACATTTCAGAATACTTGATTCGCAGTTTTTCCATAATACCCTCAAAAGTTAGCTTCCCTTTCTTAAAAATGCTTTGAAGCTCCTAAAAACATCAAGAAAAGTTTCAATACTCACAGGATAGAGAAAAGGTTTAAATCTAAAACCGAAAGCAGCTTTCTAGTACTTTCTCTGATTGAAATGCCCAAACTCTACATGACAAAACTTCACTACAGATACAAGCTGATTCAGCCTGAGAGATACTCAGTGTAGTCAGATGATGCCTTCTAATTTGTAAGAATTAAAACTTGATAACTCTTCAGAGTGTCAGACTATTGTACATTACCACATCTCCTGCTTCCAATGGAGCTGGATGATTTAACTGTATCTCAGTTGCTGTACTGATTTCAAAAGTTGCAAGTAGCAAAAAGTTTCAAATGATTTTTTTTTTTTTTTGGAATGTTGTTTGTTACTAACTTGTTGCCATTTCTGTTTCTTTCTACATTATCATAACAATGATTCAAGGCCATTAAAAGCCCTATGTTTGAAGCAGAAGTGTCTGCTTACATGTAATAAGACAGCCCTGCAGAGCTCAACTTCTTTAGAAAGGGACGGTTCCAGTTCCATGCAAAGAATGTAGGTTTTAGGAGATAAAAGAGACCTGAACAAACAGGCTATTGGTTGTGGCCTAGAAACGAAATCTGATCTGTGTTCTCCTGCAGTAATTATAAAGAAGAAACTCATTTGTTTGGGAAACTTTCCCAAAGATCAAGTGGAAAAGTACTTCTTGACTTTATATGGCTTTTTCCCCCCTCTCTTCTTTTTACAGTAGCTGTTCAATAGCATTATTTGTGTTAATGGATTGAGTCATTGCACTGAAGAATGATTACAATTCTAAATGACTGTGATGTGTCACTGTTTTACTTTTCTTAACCCTCCATCAAAAGCATTATCTATTGAGAGAAAGCTAAAGAACAATGCCATTCAGACAAAAGGTAAGTTAAAGGTTTCAGTGTGATTCTAGTCCAGTATAGTCCAGGACTTCATTCAGAGCTATACAAAGATGGCCCTCCATGAAGATGGCTTCTATGAGTAAGTTTCAACATTCAATGACCAAAAATTGTGGTTAATAACAGTATGTGATCTTGAATAAACTTCCAAATGTCTTTTTATTTTTTCCCCATTACCACAAGAATGGAATGAAAAACAATCATTCTGAGGAAATGAATTCCTCAATAGCCCGGAGCATGTGCATAACCATAATCAGCTATAAGATGCTGTGAACCTATGAAACAAGCAGTCCACTATGCCAGTCAAGTGAGCAAAGGAAGTTGTTGAACTAAAAACATGATCAAATGGGCTGCTTGTTGCAGACTGATCAACCTACCCAAACTAGTCTTACCTCTCTCTCTGCTCTCTGTTCCCCAACCACACTGACCTTCCATGGCTCCACCCACATGGTGCCAGAGGGCCTTGGTATATGCTTTCTTCTTTCCCTGGACCACTGCCCTCATTGTAGACTAAATTGGCTCAGTTCCGAGGATTAAGATACAAGATTGTGAATCTGTATCACTGGTTCATCTTTCACCTACCTCAAATTGTTCTGTCTCTTCTGGGTGATCCTGTAATTCTGCAGTCTTGAAAGAAGTCATGGTTTTTTGAAACAAATTCTTCAGAGTCATTATTTCTTTTTTTAAGGAATGTCTCTCTTGGATTTCAGTCTGCACCAACTCCTTATTTTTCTGAGCTTTCTGAAAAAGTCTAAAATACAGCATTGAAATAACAAAACTGGTTTTTTTACCTGCTCTCATGTAAAGTTTTATTTCAGTAATTTAAAAAATGTCTGCCTAGCTCAAAAACATTTTTCCTAACAGAAAAATACCAGGTTTCAGTGATTTATATACATTTACAAAAAAATGTAAAATTCTACCATTCAACCAAACACTTCTCCACACTTTTCATCCCAAAATGTCTTTTTACACTTTACATCCTAATGGCCATTTCTGTCCTCCATGTTTACCCTATATAATCTTTGAGCTCAACTGAAAATGACTTGGAGATGTGAAATGAGTCATGGGTGGGCTTAAAGGGGTAGAAAACACCACTAGCCTTTGAGAAATATATACTTTATCCAGCCTCATTTGCTAAAGATGTAGTCACCAGATCAGAAAGTTGAAGCTTTTTTACTCTCAAGTAGCTGCTGTGAGTTTAAATGGATAAATTCTTAGGGGCTATTAGATAAATGGAGTCCTGGTGTTGTTCTATAGGCTAATACATCAGACTGCAAAGTCATCTGAACTGCAAGGTCGGTGGTTTAAGCTTGACTAGCTGCGCCTTGGAAACTCTATATAGGGCTGCTATGGGTTGGTATCGACTCGATGGCACTTAACAACAACAATTGGATAACTACCTCTTTGTTGTTGTTGTCAGGTGCCATCAAGTCGGAACCGACTCATAGCGACCCCATAGCACAGCAGAATAAAACAATGTCCGATCCTGGGCCAACCTCACTACCGCCGCCACACTTGACGCCATCAATGATGTCACCTGGCTGAGCCATCTCGTTGGGGGTCTTCCTCTTTTTCTCTGACCCTCCACCTTACCCAGCATGACATCCTTCTCCAGCAACTGTTCTCTCCGGACAATGTGTCCAAAATAGGAGAGATGAAGCTTAGCCATCTTGGCCTCCAAGGAGCACTCTGGTTGCACTTCTTCCAAAAGAGATCTATTGGTTCTTTTGGCAGTCCATGGCACTTTCAGTATTCTCCTCCAACACCACAACTCAAAGGCATCAATTCTTCTACGATCTTCCTTATTCAATGTCCAGCTTTCACATCCATATGAGGTTATTGAAAATACCATGGCTTGGGTCAGGAGCACCTTAGTCCTCAAGCTGACATCTCTGCTCTTCAATACTTTAAAAAGTTCCTGTGCAGCAGATTTGCCCAATGCAATACGTCGTCTGATCTCTTGAATGCTGCTTCCGCGAGTGTTGATAGTTGATCCAAGAAGAATGAAGTCCTTGACAACCTCAATCTCTTCTCCATTGATAAGAATGCTGTTTATTGGTCCAGTGGTGAGGATTTTTGTTTTCTTTACATTGAGTTGTAATCCATACTTAAGGCTGTGCTCTTTGATCTTCATCAGTAAATATTTTAAGTAAATATTTACTTAAAATATTTACTGATGAAGATCAAAGAGCACAGCCTTAAGTATGGATTACAACTCAATGTAAAGAATAAATACCTCTAGTGGTTAAATTTTATCCTTTGAGCCAATGGTCCTACTCAGTATTTTTCTCAATGAAATAACCACAGATGCAGATAGAGGTGTTGGCATAAGAATATTCACTGTCTTGTTTTATTGTATTTTGCCACTGCAATGTTTTCATCAAAGTTAAAAAAAAAAAAAAAAGAATTACAGATGATTCTATATATTTGGAAATCAGTGAAATAAATGACAATATATTTACGTGGTAGATTATTAGGCAGCCACGTAGTGAAAGAATACCTAATGGCACAGGTGAATGCATGTCATTTGGTGATAATGATTCAACATGATGCAAAGCAGTACGGATAGCATGATCTTCAGGTGTTTAAAAATATAATCATAGAAAAAAGATGAGCAGTGATATACAGCATTGGCAGTGAGAGCTGTGGAGTGCTGAGACTGAAGATGTATTTTGTACTTTAGTGTTGTTGTGTGCCACTGAGTCAGTTCTGACTCATAGTGACCTGTGTAGGGTTTTTGGAAGCAAAGAGCCTCATGTTTCTCCTATGGAGCAGCTGGTTGGTTTGAACTGCCAATCTTGTAGTTAGCAGTCCAGTGTTAATCCTATAATGACACTTAATATTCCACATTATCTAAATTTTCTATAATGAATGGTGGCATTTGTGTGCCACTGAGTCGGTTCTGTCTCACAGCGATCCTGTACAAGGTTTCTGAAGCTGTAAATCTTTACGGGAGCAGAAAGCACCACTCTCTCTCCTGTGGAATGACTGGTAGATTCAAACTACTGACCTTTCAGTTAGAAGCCCAGCTCTCAATCCATTATGCTACTAGAGCTCCTTTCTATAATGAATATGCATTACTTAATTAGAAAAAAAGTAAACATTCACTTAAAATAAAAGACATTTGAAGGATATTTAACCTCAGCAATTCCAGGATAGGATCGAGAACCTGAGTTTGTATTAATTTTAGTTATTAATCTTTTCCATCACTTTTTATAGTAATCCGTGTTGACTCTACTCAATTCTGTTGCATCTCTTGTCATCTGTCCATAGATTGTGGTATTTTCTAAATTCAATGTTTTCTAAATTTTGAGCCCAGCTCATCAAACACATTCCGTTAATAGTTTTCTGGCCAGGACCATAATTAATTAAGGAATTAAAATAAATAAATTAATCGAGGAATTAAATAAATGAGACACAGGGAAACCTGTGCATGAAGAATTCATTGTCTTTGCAAAGCAACAATGAAATCTTTTCTTTTCTTTTTCTTTCTTTCTCTTTGGATGGCAGAGCCACAAAGAGTTGTTTTATTATTTTTTATGCACAGACCCCTAGTTGAATTTTTCTCTTG